CTATGTCATCGCCAGTGAGGGTATTGACATAGCCTACTGGAACACAAACCGCACAAAGCAGAAGGGCACTATTTGAGCTCCCGCATATGTAAATGCTCACCTGACAGCCTTCAGTCCCACCATCAAGGAAGGCTTCTGCCAAATGATATATGATGTCTGGTCATCCCAGTCGCGGCAGCCTTCATGGAGTGTCATGTCAAAATTCCAGAGCAGCTTTGCGACAATGAGGCGCATTTCGGCATAAGCGAGACTGTATCGAGCGAGAAAAATCCCTGTCAGTAATGACTCGAGGTGGAAGAGGTTGCAGCCACATACTTCTTCCCTAGGCAATTTCGAGGACCAAAAGAGAAGGGTTGCGAGGCTTCTCGGTTATCCGATTCAAACTTAGGATCCCTGTTTTCCAACCAACGCTCAGGAATAAAAGATTCAGGCTCGACGAAATTGGATTCAGCCCGAGACGCCGAGAACGGTACTACCGACACAGAGACCTACCGAACCTGTTAGCAGAAGGGACGTGACAAATGATCTTCAAGACTTGGCGTACACCTCCTGGGACATATTGTCCATCAATGGAAGCGCCGCCCATCGGGACCTTTCTTGGAAGATATCCTGGCACAGGAGGATATATTCGTAAGCTTTCTTCGAGAACAGCGTGCAAGTACGGGAGTCTTGCCACTGTAAGGAAGGTGATATCGTCTTGCTTGTCAAAAGCCCCCCTGATTTCATGGACGAGCTTATTGTACACTTCCGGGTGTTTCAGGAGATAGAAAGTGCACCCGGACAGCAAGGTAGCGGTTGTCTCACTCCCAGCAAGAATTAAAACACCTGCATTCGCTTCTATCTCCTGCCGCGTCATGCCTCGTTCGTCATTGTATCTGAGAATGTAGGACATGAAGTCCGGCCTGCTAGTTTGCAGATCCAGACGACGACCAACTTTGTCCTTACTCATGCGCCAGTGCTCATTCCGCATTCTCGCAGCTTTCTTGGGGAGGGCTTTCTTGACCAGCGATTCTAACAATGGATAAAGATGAACGAGTCTCAGGAAGACGCTCATTTTCACACTCTGGAAAACCATCTCCACCCAGGGGTGGTAGCCATTGTCCCGGAGGCAATCAAACGGCTCTCCGAAGGCCAGATCTCCAATAATATCGAAGGTGGTGTAATTGTACCACTTCATCATATCCACCGTGCTCCGCGAAGCAGCGCATTCAGCTTTTAGTTTCTCGACGAGAAGATCCACATAATGCTGTACGAGCGACTCTTGTTCTCTCAACGCTTTCTCGGAGAACGCATGAGACAATAGCCGCCGCTGTCTGGCGTGATCGGCATCACTCGCTGTAAGTATATGCCCGCCATTCGGGCTGTGGATATAGTACTTGGGATCCTTGATGAACGAACTGGCACCATGTTTCCGGTGACCATAGATGTCTTTCCAAGCGTTGCCGCTTCGGTACACCAAGTTGGAGGGCGAAATGCGCACGACATCGCCATACTGGTCATGCAATTCTTTTAATTTGGCATGTATTCTCCCGGAGATGGTCCACCAAATGTAGCAGAGGTTCGTGCATGCCGCGAGCTTGGGACCAGGATATTTTCGAAGCGGGTGAAGATAGATATTGTAGATGGCCTGTCCAAACAGAACTGCTACCAGCTATTATACTCAGTGGTCAGCTCAGCAGTATCTGCAGGACAGTTCCAGTCAGGCAGTCACTGGTGATACGTGCACTTACTAGGGATAGCACGGTAGATATTGGAGTCATTTTTTTCTACTTATGTCTGTTAGGAGGTTGCATCGTCTGGACTCTGTTCCAGGACGGACACTGCCTTAAATATCTGCCCACAAACGGATTCACCGAGGTAGCATCACTGGAGGGCTTAGCAGATCGTGCTTATTCGCTCATTGGCTTCTAACCCTTGTGTGTGACATTTGCTACATTGCTAGAGCTAGAGCTAGAGCTAGACTAGACGCTTGCCGGCTTGATAGACCGATGTATGTCAAAGTGGGGTGGCATAAGTCCAGTTTCACAACGATATCCTCCCCACTTATGCACGGGCTCATGACTCCTGAGGTTAATCGATTCCAAGCACGCCCATAGCGGTCGCTTACAGTCAGTGGAGCCGGTATGGCGCATATTTTTATGCTTAGGTCGAAGACGTTGTGTTATCGCCGGACAAATCCGACGGAGATCAACCGATTGACAGACACTCTTGACACTAAAAGTTTAGCATGGATAAGCACTGCATTCTCTGCTCCATCAAAATCGGATAATTGTCACATATGAATCACGTTGACCCAAACTAGCTATCTATGAGTTCAACCCCGCTTTACCTATATATACATTGAGCGGTGATCTCAAGGGATATCAGAGGTAACAATTTCACGCGCAAGTATAACCCTGACCTCGGCTAGAAGGCTCTAAGCGATGACTTACTCCCTATCCAATGCAATCGCCTCGAAACTAGACGCGTGGCGGTCGACGGGGTGCGCCTGGCCGACTTGTCTCTGAGGACATAGTGCCAACCATCCATTACAATGCCAAACACCCCAAGTTTGTCGGGCGACTACTACTATTGGAGATGCTTGAGAAGCATGATATAATTACCTATGACTGATCCACATCCACTATTTTCCGAAGGGGGCCAGCCCACTGTGATCATGCCTGCGTCCCAGCTACAGGAGAAGTTTGTGTCTCGACCTCCTGATTGAATGGCTTGAGAAGATGAGGGTCAGGAGCACATCGTTCTGTTTTTCAAGTGCATGGACCAGTGGGTTAAGTGTGGCAAGCAGCCAGTTAATATTAGGCAGTGGTTTAACTTACTTACTTTCAATATCATCACTACGTTTACCTTCAGGAGACCATCTATCTCTGCAAACAAGCATTGTCACACTCAGTAATGCTGCTGATCAATTTCATTTACATCCACCCACTACTTTTAACTATAGACATTTTGGGCATATTCTTTCCCCCGTGATCCTGTTTAGGCCTGTCTACTATTTGCACAAGGGAGAGGAGCATCTGCAGTGCAACTATACCAATGTTTAGGAGAGGTTGCACAGACTTGATGATGACAGTATTACTAAGAATAATTTCCGGACCTACATCAGCGGTCATAATACTGAGTGTCCTATGTCTATATCCAAGTCTGTCAAGGAGCTGGAGATCAACACCACCCTTGTCATTCCTGTTGGCAGCGACACCATTACCCCCCCCCCCCCCCCCCCCCCCCCTGTGCTACTTTCTTTACCTTATTCTTAAGCACCCTGCTATGCTCAATACCTGTGTGCTGAGCTCACAGGTATTGTCCCTTGGAACCAGCCATTACCTTTGCTAATCTTGCCAGCCTTTCCTATCTCCAGGTGTTTATTAATAAAGCCCTCTGCATGTATCCCCTGCTATCCTTAGATCTCCACTAGAAGGTTTCCCACGAAGGGTCTATAGCCACTTCAAATCTGCATGTCTGTGGCCTATGATAATGAGCACAACTTTGCCTGGCCCTACCAGTTCACACTGAAGCGGTAGCTGACTTCTGATGATAAGCGGCCGAAGTAATGACACGTGAATCAGAGGCAGGTCTGCCAGCCTTTCTTAGTAGGGCCGCGCAATTGCATTGGCATGAACCTGGTGTATGCGGAAATAATGCTCTGGCTTGACTAATGGTCTGGTACAACCTGGAACTATGGATCATGCATTCAATATCACCAAGCAGCAAGCGTATATCATGTGAGAAAAACCACACCGGATGTTTCACTTGGTCGGCCCCGGCAGAGTAGATCTGTTGCAGTCCTCGAAGTAGAAAGGGAGACGGAAAGACGCCTTCCTTCCCTTTCGGGCCTCAACGGCTCTCTGCGCCCTCGCTCACGTGTCGTGACGTTGACTTCAACCACCATGCGATATGCAATATGGAACACTTCGCATCTAAGAACAGTATTGTTATCACGATGAACATCTGGCCGACGCTCGGTTATCTCTCAGATGGCGCCTGTCCTTCACACGCGATACTATCAATCCTTTTCTGTTTCCCACTCTTCCAAAAGCGCTCACGTACGACCAATACGGGTCACAAGGTACATTAGTTTGAGGGTACTCATTCAACTGTTCGTGGGAACTATCTGCATATTTGTGCTGGCGGTTTTGTTCTGGAAAATTGGTCAATTCTTTCGATTTCTCACGCGGGACCGAGTCGTCAGGCAAGGAAAGACGGTTAACACTCGCTATGCGAGGACCTGGTATGGCTGGGTACCATTGCAACGGCACGAGTTCCACAAGAGGCTTTTCCAAAACTTTTTCCAAAGATTGCATGACTGGACCGCGTGGAGATCGTCCAAGGCCGACTTTCGCTGGGTCTGGTGGGATCCTGGCCAAAAGGAGCTGGAAAAGTACAAGGAAAGGCGAAGATTCCTCCGATGGGTGCCGAAATGCTTTAGAAGCTACGAATTCACGACGGCGGATGCTATCTGGAACCCTGGTCCTTCAGTTGGGCGTTATTCGGCGCCTGGTGAAAACATAGCGGAACCTCTCTGCGCAGGAATGAACACTCATTCAACTCTGAACCTGTGCAGGCCTGTGTTCAAATCATCAGAGAGACAAGGTTCTCATAATATATCATCGAGTCAGATGTCAATGTCCGATCGTTCTCAATTATCGCCCATTGCATCAACACAACTAGCTAGAAGACTCGAGCGAAATTCCACGACTGACACAATCCAAATCCGAGATCTCCGCATACTCTATAATCATGGTGGAATGCTCTTGCCATTGAACCATTCAATATACGTACGCAAACGCAACCAGATGGTCCTCCTCTTCCCGAATCGCAACCCAGCGCTGCGACAAAATCTTTCCATGCCATGTCTACTGAGTACAGAACCCGGTCGTTCAAGGCTCATAGATCGCTCAGAAGGGCTTTATACTGCTCAGAATTTCAGGCATGGGGAAGTTGCCTCTTGCTCAATTCAGAAGAGACCTCGTGCTCTGGCATACCAGATGTGGTCCGCTCGAATGGAACTTCAAACGTCAAAATGCATCCGTTACAACCAGTGCCCGCTCCTCGGGCCTCCCGGAAGCCCCGAGTCTGGGCTCCTCAGCAGTTTTTCGTCCGAACAAACTGCATTGTTGGGAGTGGTCTCAAAGACCTATGGAAGAAGGATCGCCAATCTCTCCTCCGACGAATCCAGCCACGCCGTATCCATAAAACGACACGTTGATCATGACAGACAAGAAATATCGAATAAGGGCGCACAGGATTCTGAAGCTGAGCACCGACGTTTCAAGGGACAACTTCGCGTCGATAATAGTTCATGTCGAATTGCAGAAGTCAGAGGCTCGGGTCTTGAGGCTGCGTCCTCTGGTGCCGTTCAGAGCTCTCCGCGCTCAGATCGTGTAGAGAGGCCGCGGAGCTTGCATGGAATCACCAACAGCACAACGAAGCTTCGCGAAAAACGTCATTCGAAAGCTAGGCACCTGGCACGTAGAAAGGTACATTTACAGAGTCTGAGCACCTGGGAGGTGAGGCTAGCGCACGACCTGAGTCGAAAATTGGAATGGCTCTTGGTACAGCTTAGTCCTGGTCGTAGGCCTTTTCACTTTGCCTTGCTTGCCAATCACTGGCTCAATAGGGAAACTTGGGTTGTACTCGATCCTATTTCACGGGTCCCCATTGAAGCAAGACGTCTTTGGGGAGATCCACGATTCAATTCTCCATATCCAATACCTCGCTGGGGGCCAAGACCTAAATATCCCGAGAGCACTTGCAAAACAGCCAACACACCTCATTTGAACTCATGGAGGGCTGCTGTCAATCGGAATCGACGGGCGTCAGGTCTCCGAGATGTCATCAAGAGCGTCGCGTTACTTGAAGGCTCAACAGATGAACCACCGGATGGGAAAGTCGATCCCGCAAGTTGGATACTTCGAAGGCCCCCACAAGGTTTTGCAATGCCAACCACGCAGCAAGACGCATACTACGAAGGAGGAGCAGGATGGCAAGAGACCCTCGGGGACTGGCAGCGGGTGCGCCGCGGTTATCGAATCCGTAAAGCGATCTATGAAGGGAGGGCCAATCGAACAAGGATGAAGGAGGTAGCGGTTGGACTTACCCGGTACTTCCTGGCCATAACAAATGAAGCTTTGAATACTCCCTAAACAGATGTCGCGTAAGAGGTACCAGCAGCCGGACATTTCTCCAAGCCTTGCACCAGATACCGGCGAAATTCGGAGAGGTTGACGAAGCGGTCTGCCGTCCATAGGCCACATAGATATCATATTGACTCTACCGGGAGAACTTCCACTCTCTTCGCCGAGTGTTCTAGGTCCCAACTTATCATTTATTGTTATACGAGTATGATCAAGATATCATCTTAGCAAGAAACGAGATCTGTGAGTGTGAAATGTGCTCTCATATTTGTATGAATGCATTGTAAGCCGAATTGAAAACCCATCGCAGTCAATGTGTAATTTCCCAATAGCCGAGAACTCCGATTTGCTTCCCTGTATCCCTTCTAGCTCAACCTCATCTTCATCAGAGGATCTAGGCGATAAGGGCTGTGGTGTATTGTACAAACATTTTCAGCGGATCGTATGGACGGTTCTGAAGAGTATCGTGCGTCGAAGAAGAGAACTTAGAAACCAGGAGGGTTCAAGCGTTGGCTGACTCTCGTCCACTTGGGCAGTTCTGAAGAGAGAGTTGTCAGCATCCTTGTCTTCGCCTGGAGAGAAAACAGGTGCAAAGCGGCCACGGAGAGTGTAGTAGTGTCAGTGATGAGACAAACATACTGTGAATACCCTTCCGATAGGTCTTTTCCTTCTTATCGAACAGCGTGTACTTGTCCTTGGGCAACATCTCTTCCTCCCGAGGCATTTCCGCATACCACCGATCGACGGCTTTTGTGCTCTCGCCGTTTCGTCGCAAGGCGGCGCTCAGGGTATCGACCACCCGGTCAACATGGCGTAGACGCTTTCTTTGCCGCGCTTTCTGAGGTTGTGAAATGCGCCACGGGATCTTCCTGTTCGTTCGGTCCAAGGTGTCAATCGTTAGTCCCGTGCTTTATGGAATTTAAAAAAACGCAGCGGAAGAACCACTGCAGAGGCTGCAGAGGTTGCATCGAAGGCTTGGGGCATACCAGAGAAGACCCGAGAAGAGCGGTGACGAGACCTTGAACATCTTGACGGTATCCTGTCAAGGTGGTCGCTGAAAATGCTGCAAGAATAGCACTGTCGCTGTCGGTGATGGGCAGATTCGGGGCGAAAATCCTCTGGAGGTTCGGAGGTGCTGGGTGGTCCGTGCTCGCCTCCATCTCCGCGGCCGCAAAAGTCAAAGCCAATGAAGGCGTCTCTTGCTTTCACGCCTCTCGTCTCCGTCTGGGGAGCTATGTAGGTTTCTCCCCCTCGTTGCACTTGAATCATTGTTTGGCCCTTGTTGGCATCCTCAAGTGCTGCTGTCTTTTGTTCTCGCTGTATCTGTTGTTCATCTACCTTGTCCATGGATTCTTCTCGGTAGAGCTGCATACCATGTCCCGTTCTACGGATCGCAGCGCGACGGGCGACTGCCCGTCTCTCCCTTGGAGAGCGCTTTCGGCTACGACGATTCTCGGAGTCGCTGGTTTATGCCGTTCGTTCTTGTATTTGTGTAGTCGTCCAGAAATCAACGGCTTGGAGTCCTTTCTGGAATTACTCCAATCTCGACAGGATACAACGCGAAGAACGAGGGGTTTGCTGACAGGTATCTATCCTCTTTACTCTACAAATATTCTCTGCCTCTATATGGTCGCTGCGTGGAGATCAATTGCTGACATAGGATTGATGTTGACAGTCTCGAACCATATAAGCGTGTACGTACGTACGATGCGCCTTGAAGCTTGAGGCGACACCCATCTGCGACTTCAACGAAGCTTACCGTTGTCGCTGACTCGAGCAGTATGGATGATCCGATCATGTGGGGAGCAATTCCATTACGGTGGAATTTTGGACTTTCCTCGTCCAACAAGAGATGGGGCTTTGGCAGCCATGATATCTGTTATCAAAGCCGGTACGCTGAAACAACCCACGATCTGGTCATGGTGTTGCGGCTAACCAAGCGGACTTGAGTAGACCTCTCGCTCTCTTCTTCACGATGGGCCAAGTCCTACCCACCCATCGACTAGCACATTCGCCCCATGGCGGTTTGGCACAGCCAGCCGTAACCCAGGCTATCCGGTTATTGTCGAAGGGGCCGTTCCCTCCAGATCCACACCTCCCGCCTCCCGAAAGGCAGCACTGGAGCATAGAGAACGTCTGCGTCGACCCATTCTCGGATCTTCCCACGGCTTACACCACTACTGGAATGGATTCACATCTAGCGCCGTCTGCCTACGCCTGCAACTCATACTCCTGGATCCACATCTTTCCTGAGGGGAAAATCCACCAGGCTGCGAACAAAACGATGCGTTATTTCAAGTGGGGTGTCGCTCGACTGATACTGGAAGCAAACGAGTGTCCTGACGTTGTCCCAATCTGGTTGGAGGGATTTGACCAAGTCATGCACGAAAGCCGTGGCTTTCCTCGGTTTCTTCCTCGAGTAGGCAAGGAGATTAGCATTACATTTGGAAAGAAGGTGGATTCAGAGGCTGTCTTTGGCGACATGAGAAGAAGATGGCGTGAGATCAAAGCCAAGGCTGAGTTGGCGTCACCGGAGTCTCGCAACCTTCCCCTAGGGGTGCTTAGCGACGAACTGCTGCACGGGGAAGAAGCCGTCGAGCTGCGAAAGGAGGTTACCAAGAAGGTCCGGGATCTTGTCTTGGAGGTAAGACGGACAAGGGGCCTCTCCGACGAAGACCCCAAGCACGGTCTCGCGGAGACCTGGATTCAAGAAGGTCCGCAACGGGAAGGCAAAATGAAAGATGAGTCATGGGTAAGGGATATATGAGTCAGGCTCGCCTACTCTTTGTTCCTCAAGTACATATGTAAGATTACGAATGGTCCGTGTACATAAAATTGAGGATATAGAACGTCGTTTAGTTGTTCCGGAGTCGAGTCCAGCCCTGACCTCTTCTGGCTGAGGGGGCGAAATCATCCACGGCTAAATACAAATCCCCCAAGCTTCCCCCGAGCTTCTCCAACGCCGCTCCGTCAACACCCCACCTGCACCTCGTTCCTCTCTGTAACCATATTCTCTATGCCCAAAAAGCACCACAAACACTCATTCGCGAAGCCTGTCAGTCCCGCTCATCATACTTTAATTTCATCCGGTCCTCGTAACCAAAATGAACGGTTTCAAGCTTCGCAGGCCTCGTCCTCGAGCACATCAACACCATCGGTCAACGACCTGATCAACCACCTTCGTCGCACACAGGTTTCCCGCTCGCCTGAAGATGGCGCTGGCAGTCCAACCCGATTTGTCGCTCCGCGATCTGTCCATCCGTCACTACGGAACTTGCTAGAGCTCCCTGAAACCCCGCCACCTCGTCCCCGCCCGGAAGCACGCCGCGTCGGAGTGACTGGACGACGGCTGCGGAGGACTCCTGGACCGCCTCCTCCCCAGAGCTGGCTTTTGGGGAGTCATGATGCTGATACATCTGATGAAGATCTGAATGCTACACATGCTGCGCGAGTTGAAAGGATCATATACCGACTGGATCGGCTTCCGGGAACGACGTTCCCGCGCAAGTCGGACTTGTTGCACATGGTTCTGAAGACCATGGCGTCGCACTGGGCGTGGCATATCGAATACGATGGGCAATTCCTGGCTGTGCTGCCCAGTCATGTTAAGATTCTGCTGCTGAGCTATATTGCTATCTATGCGAGAGACCAGCCTCTGAAAGGGCTGATGCATGGGCTGAAGCCACTTTTTGAGAAATTCAGTACCGATGGCTATGAGAGTGGGGATGCAGGGGATACAGCCCAGGATGGCGACTCAGAGGTCTCGCGTCTGGATTTGAGCAGTGCATTAGGGCGCTGGATGACTATAAAACAGCTCTCACATGAACTTTTCCTCTCGAACAAGTCAGGAGCAAGTCTTGCACAAGGCAAGGCTAAAGAGCCTGTTCCATCATCATGGGAAGAGATTGATGACGAAGAAGATGAATTGATGGATGAAAATCCTAATATGCCCATACCCAAGGCATTAAGCCAGGGCCTTCGCTTCCAAAATCTGCGCTTCCTCTCCTTAGCGCACCCCAAACCCGCGGCTGCGAACTGGAACTCCCTTGTCGACCTCCTATCGCATCTATCAACAATTACTCATCTCTCTTTGGCGCACTGGCCTTTACCAACAGTTACGCCGAACGCTATGAACACGCGCATTAGGCATCCCACCCAAAGATCCCTCACCTTCGCCTATGGGGGTACTGACTCTTACTCTGGAATGGAGAACAACTGGGCCGAAGCAGCTGCCATTCTGCGCAGGGTCTCGCGCGTAACATATTGTCTGAAGTGGCTGGATCTCGAAGGCTGCGGGGACTGGTTTCCCGCGTTGACCTGGGAAGGCGTCAGCCCGGACGGCGAGGCACTACCCTCTGGTCCCGAATGGAACGGATCATGGAGGGATATCGAGTATGTCCGATTAGGAGCTGGGTGGCTCCCTCGTATCGATGACAGTGAGTTTGCCGTACCGCAAAGCGGCACAGCTGAGCGACCGTCGCGATCCCTCGCTTCGTCCATTCATGCTCCATCTCCCGCTCCGTCCGATATCTCGGATCTTCCGTGGGATGTCGAGATTGAGCGCATCAAGTACAGGCGTGCGAAGGAATTGGAGTACTACCGAGAGACTCTGCGTTCTGCGAAAGCGGTGCAGAGAAGTGTTCTGCAGCTTCGACAGAGCGGACGAGGAAAGTGGGTGCATTTCTCTTTTGGCCTGGAGGGATTGGATGCTGGCACCCTTAAGAAATTACTTGGGACTGACTATCGAAGCTTTGTCCCGTGATGCTGCACCCCGTACAGAAGCCGATTACAGTATATACAGAGCATATCCCTTTAAGACATCAAATGATACTTTACACTGACGACTTTTGATCGAAGCCTGGCGGCGCCTTGCATAGAACCTAGGTCACTAGAAAATCGCATTTGGTATCTATAGATTTAGGATCGCCTGTATGTACAAGATTATGCAGCCATTTCAAACTTTTGTATTCCCTCCCAGATCTATCATGAAAGACACATCCATCAACATATCACTTGCGACCCCGATTGAAGGTCTTGAGCGGGTCCACCTTCCTCACGCCGGACGGTTTCCGCCCCTTACCCTTACCGCGATTCTTCTCTCTAGCTTTGCGAATCCGATTGTCTCCCGATTTCCTGAAACCAACGTACCCGACGTCCTCGCTGGAGATGCCCTTCCTTCCCTTGGTCGGCATCAGATAATCCGGAATGTGTTTCAGATGTGGTTGGATACGCGCGGCGCGAAGCTCGCCGTCATGACGCAGTTGCTTGAGTTCCTCGGGGTTCTCCTCGAAATGTCGCTTGAGCTTCTCGCTCTTGACCAGCTCCTGGCGGATCTCGCGCGCACGGGCTTCCTGGATGGCCAATCGTGTGACTGCGCGAAGGGCATCTGTCATACGATACCGGAAGGCATCGACCTGCTTCATCTCGAAGTGGTATGGTTTCACCTCGTGGCCGAGTTTGGCTTGTTTCTTGACGATCTTCGCCAACACGGACTCGTCGTGCTTGGCGGTTGGGAAACTGGTGGGCTTGTGTTTGCCGAATTCGTCCGCTGGCACAACAAATGATAGCGCCATGCCGGCCTTGCCGGCTCTTCCTGTACGGCCGATGCGGTGAGTGTAGGACTTTGAAGTGGTGGGGAGGTCGAAGTTCAGAACACATGCGACGTTCTGGAAATCAATGCCGCGGGATATTCCGTAATCCTTGGCCTTCCCTGATGTCTTACGGCGTTTCTCAGGGCGGGCAGATTTGCCGGTCTGTTCTGTTTCGTTATCCTCGTCTTCACTAGAGCCCATCTTGTCCCCGGCCTCATCGTTATCTCCGCCAGTGGACTCCTTGGATTTCTTGGAAGATGTCCGCGATCCCATCACTTCTTGCTCATCCGCTGCAATGATGATGTCGTAAACACCCTTGTTGAACTCCTGCACAACGTGAATCCGAGAATTGATGGGCAGCTCGGAATTGAGGACACAGCTTTTGATGCCGAATTGCTCTAGGAAGAGCTTGAGACGATAACAACGGTCAATATCGCCAACAAAGATAATGACCTTGCCTTTAATCAACTGTAGTTTGAAAATGACGTAGGTAAGGAGGAACTTCTCGTCTTCCGCGCATCTGGCACAAGCGTTAGCCAGAGTCCAAGCATGTCAGATAGGACAGTTGATCATACCTAACAACAAACTGACTGATACCTGCACCTTCATCCTCCTTGTCTTCCAACTTMAGAATCACAGGACTCCGACAGAACAAGCCCTTCAGGGTATCAACTTCCGACGTGAGAGTTGCACTCATGAGGAAAGTCTGCACACCACGCGGGATCGCCTTCGCCAATGCATTGATATCTTCATCATAACCATACGAAAGAACCAGATCCGCTTCATCGATTACAAGGTGCGTCAAATTTTCCAATGACAGAGCCGAAGTACCAAGATTGGCAATCACACGAGCGGGAGTGGACACAATTAGGTCCGGGTAATCGGCGAGCATGGTGCGCTGCACAGCGTCGGAAACTTTCTGTGTAAGGTTCACGGAACGAACATCTTTGCCGCAGAATGCAGAAAATTTCGTGATGACATTCTGAACTTGTTCTGCAAGCTCTCGGGTGGGAACGAGGATGAGGCCAGTCGTAGCCTTTAGCGAGGGATCGGCCTGAACAATTATGCGTCTTAGCGCTTTCTTCTCCTTGAATATGAACCTCAGGATAACATACAGCTTTCTTCTGAAGGACCGTCTGTAAGATTGGGAGGACATAGGCCGCAGTCTTTCCAGAACCTGTCTTCGCACGGGCTGATTTCATTAGCGGTGTCAAACCACAACATATACTTGGACCTTCTATGCTTACCTAGGATATCCTTGCCCTCAAGAGCGAGAGGGATGGCTTTAGATTGAACTGGAGTAGGCTTTGTGAATTGTTCTTTGATCAAAGCTTGGCGCAGTCGGGGATCGAGATTGAGGCTTTCGAAATCTGTGTTGTCCGCATGTTTTGTCTCCTTTTCCTCTGCAACCTCTGCCGAAGGGACGTCATTGGCATCAAGCTTGCGTTTCATTTTGAGAGACAACGTTCCAAAAACCGTTGAAAAAGACCTTTGAAGCTGACTTGATTGTAGGATATTGCAGACTGGAAAGTTTTCCTCGTTCGGGCGGTTTCAGAAATTCTGTCGGGCGGTGAGATTCCCGCGGCAGTATTATTGTCTCCACTATTTACTCCTTTGATGTGCCACTTCCCTCTGGCCTGATCCATACAATGATCTCGATATTCTTTTCAATTTGTATTACTCTTTCCTCTAACAGCTTTGAACATACTTTTTCTCAGTTGTTTAAGAAAAGATTTACAATCTGATTATATCCTAACTCATCTTTCAGTTTGACAAGCAAAGGTATTTTTTAAACACTCAAGTGATAGCAAGATGAATCATGAAAGTGGCCCGAGAAGACAATCGCAGATACAATTCTGCACTGGTGTGCTTCAAGACGTATCATAGACCATAAACGGCCTTGACAACACGTGTCGCCTAGGTCAAAACTCTGTCGTTAATATGGTATCCTTGCAAATCCGTATTCGGTGACACAGTCGTCCTTCCAGCCCAAAAAGAACATGGAGAAGCGCGAATAAAAGTGGGAATGAGGAAAGGACTGGCAATAAGAAATTAGCCGCACCAGTATCATCAGCTCATGCACATAATTTGTTGGGCTGATGCTCCTGGAGCGGCAAAAAGCTGAGCAACAAATAAACCTGCTGAGAACGTATAATGGATACCACGAAAGTATCGATAGAGATCGTATCTCGAAGATTTCGCTCGGAAAAGGAGCTGAAAGTTGGGACACAGGGGAAGTCTCCACCTGGAGCACCAAAAACAATCAACCTTGACCGTATGGGATATTGCACTTGAGACGTCTTGAAGCTGCATTAAATGTCGAGTCTGAATTCATTACTTGCATAGCCTCGGAATTTGACCATTGAGATCCGGGATATCATCCCGACATTGCGCACTTTGACATTATGTTCGACGGTGTAGACCTTGCCGAAATTCAGACGAGACATCTCATCGAGTCTCTCGTCAGGTCTCGCTGGTTCGACTTCCAAGGGTTCCTTGGTCATTCGTGGCTCATCAGCCTTGCAGGTCGGCACAGATCCCCGCATATATACAATGGCATGTTTTGCTGGGTCGACGCCGGGTTTGGCTACTCCTTTGCCACCATAAGTGGTGATGGGTCTGAACAGCATAATCAGCGTTGGTTGGTAGGATAGCTCCTTAATGGGCTTGACTTACACACACCAGGCGCATTGGCTCATCGCTTTAACAACCACCATGCGCCGGATACCGCTGAAGATCTCCTCTCCAAATCTGCCTCTGGTGAATTGGTTTTGGGTGGATCTGCCTAGGCTGTTGAAGTCCGGTATTACGGTCCCTTGTGAGATTACGGTTCCCTGTTGTCCTTTGCCCTCATGCCAGAGGATTGCGAAGACCTGTACAAGTTGTCAGAAAGTGCATACAGTACTAAAGGAGTTTGCAGAAAAGAGGATGGCTTGGAGGCTCCTCATATAGTCCTTACCCTTCCCACAACAAAGAAGTCGCCAGGAGGTCTCTGCACTTGGTAGCCTAGAGATTATTAGAAGATTGAAGGTGGGCCATGGGCAATATATGTTACATACGCCAATCGAGAGTTGGCTCATACACCCCGCGTGGTTCTCCGCGGATGGTGTATGCCTTTCGATTTCGCAGAGTCTACATTATCACTTAGAATGTGTTGTATCTGGACTGCGAATGTTCACTTACCCCAAGGGGAGGACTGCTCTGTTCGGGCGTGCCGTGTGTTTCCGCGTGATCTGAACCTACTCCAGGCATAGGAGAGTACATCGGTCGACCACTGGCACTTTGATGCGCTCCAGGATTGCGCGTGGGGGCCGAGACAGGTGGACTGTATCCAGATGACGGAAAAGAATTATGCTGGTGATGCCTGTGAGGACTTGCTGGTTGAAAATCATGACTTTCAAGAATATCGCTGTCTAGGCCGCCGGATCCCGGGGTTAGGAAACGGGTTCCCATATGTGCAAAAGCAGTAGAATTGTATTCCCCAGTAGAGGCGCGATAATTATTCTGGGTGTTGAATGCACGTTCAGCAGCCACATCTTCATCGAAGGCACGGGAAAGATAATTGATGGGCTGGGTCGAGCCATAAGCTGAATGGCACAGAGAGCTCTGTTGTATATTCTGAACACTATTCAAGTTTCCTCCCGTCAGTACCGTCGTATTATGGTCCATATCTCCCAGATAAGGTATATGCTTGCGACATACGCTGGAAAATTGCTCGACTGTCGACCATGACGAGCCGTCGATAGGCCATATGAAGGGGATGCTAGTGTCTCGTCGTCCCTTTGAAGACGACCACTTTCATTTCCGTAGAAAAGAGCCGGTGACGCGCGTGGAACATCATCACTTAAGCAATTCACATCAGCATTGACCGTGAGTAAGCATGGAATCTTCTCTCTACCGTCTTATACTCGACGCCTCGGGTCTCGCTGATCGGTCGCGCTGTCCTCCGTCGTTACGCTGAGTAGCTAAATGCATGAATGAGCTTTCTGCGACGGGTCTGAGGTGATGTTCGTACAGGCCTCCCTACCACTGGGATGCTGATGACGGTGCCTTCTTGCAGAATTGGCCATACTTCATTTCCCAAAAGTTGCAGAAAAACACACACTGCTTGAATTTATCGAACTACTTGGATCGAGAATATCTGTAGGCACGATAGTCGAAGCTCTCAAACTGTTGGACTGTTGGACTGCATGGCTGCTTTAAAGGCAACCCTGCGGTCGTGGCAACCCATACCGAATATACCTGGGCTGAAGGAGCCAAATTGAGGCTCTTCTCCTGTCACTAACTTCCCTCTATATTGGTAGGAGGATCAGGTTGACCGAACAGCTTTGATGCACGATCAGCGCCAGGTATGTGTGGCTACTTTGTTGTCCGAATTCTACTCGTAGATGAGATGTCGCACATGACAATCGACCCAGGAATGTCGCATCTGGCTTTACGAGGTCCGGGATAAGCACCCTCTTTTTCTTGATTGGCCTCGAAAGGGGTTGGCATATGGACGCTCTGCTATCCATCGATATTGATTAGCTTAGTTCATGGGCTCTCCAGAAATGGGGAGGGGTCTGACAGGAACTACTACTGCACCTCGAACGGAGACTACACGGGTTGGTCCGTCTGACCAGTAGAAGACCCTCAGTAGCGCATCACCAGCTTCACAGAATCAGTAGCGCCAATGAGACGGCACGGGAAGGCCGAACACTCCCGTGTGGGTCGAAAGCCACGACTCATGAAACACTCTCGCAAGGCTGTCATCAATATCTTTTGTCCTTTCAAGAATCTGAATCTTTCAATTGTTGGCAGTCATGGGAAGAACTGCGAGTTACAGGAAATGATGCCTGTCACCCTTCCCGCCTGGTGATTGGGAGTTGCACAAAGTTGATGCCGGCATCCGCCTATAAGACTCATCAACGTGACACATCCAGGCAAGGAAGGAGGGAATAGATGGGCAATATCCCTTTCATCCGGCTTATTGGAAAATGACCCAAAAGACAAGAAGCAAAACATATGAAAGAATAGGATTACCGGGGGAAAAGCAAACAATAAKGAGGCGGACCGAATCAGTATTATATTGGTGCTGGTCAAATTTCGGGAGAAATGTGAAGCACCAAGGCCCAGAGTAAACAGAAAAGCATTCCGGCCTAACCCCCCCTTTTTCTGTCGTTGAACAACACAGTAGTCCAACGATCGATACACACGTGGGCTAGAAGAGAAATTTTGATCCACAGTTGATCTCCTTTCTACGCTCTCTTGCCGGTCTCCTAGACCGAGAAGATGTAAACATTAGGGAAGCTTCAACTACCTGGTCTGTTGTCGTTGCAAGATGGGGTCTTGGCCGGGCCGGATGAAGGATCCAAATCCAACCTACAAAGGGGTGAGTCGCTTATCTTCAGTTGTTACCCTTGTCTTTCAGCGCTCTCCAAGTGACTTAAAAATTTGCATAATGCACAGAGGAAGAGAGGGGACATTCGGCCCTCTAGCATTGTGGAGCTGGATCTTCATGCCGATCCACCGGGTCCAGATCCAGGAACAACGTCGTTCCTAAAGTTTCCCCACAGGAGGCTATCTCAACCTGGTACTTTGGGGGGTCACGATGATCATGCAGAGCGCAACAGTATCGTGAGCAGACACTTGCACGGACTGGCCGGTTCTAATAGCGGTTCCTTTAGGGACACAGATGCCGATATTTTGCCATCTCCAACAAACCCAACGGAGCATTCAGATGATCTACAGGTAAGCCGGGGACAGGATTGGAAGTCGCAAGCTTCAAACCAGCCCAGCGAAGCTCATGACCATGTGCCGCCACTTGAATACAAAACCGCAAGTGGGCGGCTGATCGAACAACTAGAGGATGTCTCTGCTAGAAGGCTTCGGGCCCGAGAAATGCGCGTTGCTCTACGCTACAAGCGAGAAGATGAGGGAAAGCATAGAGCTGTGCTGATGAAGAGACTCAACTCGCTCCTTGCGCAAGATCACCAGCTAGCCGACTTGATTGAAGAGCTTCAGTCGGCAACGGAATCTTACTTGGACCTGGAGCAAACGTATCATCGGGCGGAAGACGAGCTGGATCAAGATGAGTACGTGCTCATCCAGTCTATGCAGCGGTTTGCGAAATCATTGCGTGAGTCGCCACAAGGACTATCGAAGGTAACCCCTCAGGCTGAAAGCTGCGCCTCCGATGATGGCGCACTCTCTTCCCGTGAGGAGCCTCTGGAATACCCACCTGCCGTAGTGGATTACCTCTCACGAGTAGGAGATGCGCGGATACTACAAGAGCGCTTGGCGGAGCTTGATTCACAATGGTACACCATTGTTGACAAACAAAGGCTACGAAGTTCGCTCAACATCTCTTTGGATGAGGAGTCTCTACAATTCCTGCGGTCATACGACAGGTCGAGGACGCAAATCCGGAAGGAACTCAACGAGACAATGCTGGACATTGTCCATCTCCGGGCCATCTGCGACGAACGAGGACTCCGGACCGAAGAATATACCGGAGACGTGGATTTTCTCTACGGAATGGGCCTTGAAGAAGTCGCATCCCAAATGAAAGATCCTCTGAAGACGTCCGCCCTTGACGACTCTTCCCCCTTCTACGAGCCAGGGTCTGCTAAAGTCAGCAGTGCCATGTTCATCAACAAGTGGCTTCTGCATCAACTCCGACACTCGTCGGTAGAGATCTCGCGCCTCAAAGCCGCCCCAGAACTCCAGCAGTTGTCGGATGAAGGGTGGGATGATTCGAATATCAGTCGCTTGGCCCTGACGGTGTGGTTCTCGGACGATACAGTTCGAAACTCCCCGCAGACTTTATCTCAAGCCGATGATTACGATTACACTGTGGCTACGGAGAGAAGCAAGGCCACCAGACCTCGGCTACAGAAAAGCAAGTCTGAACCCGGCATTACCCCAAAAAAGGGGGTCTCCTGCGCCGCACATCTACGCACTCTTTCTTTATGATACTTACCTCTCATTGCTCCGTCAATTACTTCCATAGTCTACCCATTTTCTCTTATTCTCTCCAAATCTCTTATCTAATGTTTGCATTTTTCGGCTTCCTTTGCATGTGGCATATATAGACCTGGATTGGACCCGGCGCATCGATAGCATCTGTCAAATATTTCTCGTCTTCTGTCATTCGACCCCTCCCCCTTTTTCTCCTCACGAGCACCCTATCTATTTCGGTTTCCTTGTTCCAGCTAATCAGACCCGACGACTATTGGCAGCCACATAGTCTCCAAAACTCAACAATACTACAGTACCTCAATGTCTATAGGGTTGATAACAACGAAACACATCTATACTCCCCAATGGACAGATTCTGCAACAAGTGAAACATCTACCGTATCACCCAGATCTCCGTAGAGTACACTGTCTCCTTCTCCGCGGATCAAGCTCTCAGCTCGTAGCAATGCATGGGTGTCCTTGTAAGGATGGCTTGTGGCTTGCGGTGCCTCGTATAGTTGGTGCTTTTGAGCTGGGTATTTCGTGGGTGGCCTAGCATCAGCTAAAGGCCTGCTACGCACTCTAGTATCGGACAGGTGGGATACTCTTCCCGACATTATGTTCAGCTGAGGTCATCCTTCGAAGCAATGGTTGGTATTGAGTGAATAAGCAGGCTATTCCGTCCATCCATGTTAATTACAGGAGTGTTTAGCTGATTTCAAGGAATCCCCCGGGGCTAAACTCAAACTCAAAGCGAAGACGATGATATGTTTCATGACACGATCAGACTCCGTGGCCCATACATATCCCTGTCAAAGTAAAACTTCCGTTGTTGTATCGTTTCAGTCCGATCCGTCCCATCCCATTCGTCATATCCGTTGCAATCATTGAACATAAAACACAAGATGAAACTTCATGTAAGCGTCGTATTATTTACAATCTGTAGCTGGCAACGAGAGAAAAGAATAAAACAAAAGAAGAGGCGCACATTTCCATAAGTCGTTGCTAAATTTGGGTCTCTCACGAGTACCGTGTTTCGTCGCCGTCGCTGTCGCTCAGACTGTCCCGTCGTCTGCTTCGTCCGCCTTCGCGGCGGTATCCCTTGCTAAGACCGGGGATGGGATGATGGTACCTCTTGGTCCCCGATTCGTCATCCGTTTCCACATTAGAGTATTGATACTCGGATCTGGAGCCCGCTGACGAGAAATCCAGAGGCTCGGTGTAATGACCCGGCATGGACTGACTGTCTCGTTTGCGCGGGCTGCCCTGGCGCGATGAGGTGGCCGGGGGAGCACGACGTCTCTCCCGGCGACGATTGTGTCGTCTTGCTGATGGCTCGCGGAGCTGTTGGCGCTCCTCGGTCGTCTGACTCAGGACGTCCTCGCTTCCGGGGGCGAAAGAGAAATTGCGGCTCTGGCGTGGGGGCTCGTACGCGTAGTCTCGTACCTCGCTCATCTCGCTCGCGTTGTAGGAGGTGGGTGGGTTGGAGGTGTCGTAGTCACTACCGTTGTAGGTTCCGTCCGCCTCGCGATTGATGCCGCCAATCCGGGCCGGTTTCTCCTTGCGGTAGGCACGCACGTCTTCGTCCGCTTCGCCCTCCCAGGTCTCGTCCTTGCGTTTGCGCAAGAGTTTCTCTTTAGCCGTCTCCCGGAATCTGCGCTTGCGCTTGCGGTCTCCCTCCTTTTCAGTGATCGTCGTTGCGGTGTCTGTGTATCCGGCGCTATCGGCGACCGTGTACCCATCGTCGCTATAGCCTTTGCCAACTATACTGCCCCCACCCAGTCTCGTACTCTTCGTGGCATTACTGAGGGT